CAACATCAAGAGTGACAAAAGAAACAGCAACCGTAACAACAACGACAGACGTACCAATCTTCACACTATATCTAGCAATTCTAACATGTAATTTCTTAAAACATTCACTGAAACCCTTCATCATTTTCTCATGCCTCCTCCTGGGAACACAATATGAGATGAAATAAGAAAGAAAAAACCTGGAGTAAAAAAAATGTATCCATCTACTCTTGAACCCAAACTTTCAACAGCAACAATCCATGCAAGTTGACAGTAACAATGTACAGAAAGTACATTAAACAAAAATGAGAAGGTGCAGATTATGCTTAAGAATAGATCTATGTTTCTGACAGTTAAAAAAAAGTTAAACAGAGAATTAGATCTTAAAGTCGCGATAAATGACTTAATACAAAGAAGATGACCAAAACAATATTATCTACTGGGCTGGAGAAAAGAGAAAAATGAATTAATAAACCCCTCACGTAAACTTAAAATCATTCAGAAAATATAAATTCAAGTACATGTGATAGTGCTCAAAATTCATTTGCTAAATATCACTCCAGATCGAATCTTTTTCGCTTTCAAGAACGGGCCGTATAAAATATTAACCCTTCCAGCCCCAGCCATTTTAGTGCACTCCCTAACCCCAGTCCCAGCCAATACAGCAGTATTTCAGAAAGAGAGGTCAGCATTCTAAAAAGTATGTTGCATCTTTGTAATGAGGTTTAGATAATAACATATAAATGAGCAAATAGATCTACTAAGAAAACAAGTTTAATTACGTTCGGTAAGTTTGAAAAATATGCAAATTTGGTTCCCCCGAAACTGAGAATATACACTCTTGGGACGGTGGGAAGTACAAACGCTGCTGAAAATATACGCGCATGGGGCTGGAAGGGTTAATCAAAGCATAAGCTTTCACAGCAAGACTCATCCTCTTGAACCACCACAGGAAATCATAGGAGCTCAAAGAGAGAAAAGTTCATATTTCTTTAGATTATGAAAGAATTGAACAACTCATCTGTCTGAGTAAATGGGTAAACTCTCAAGAAGTGAAACCAATGGTCCAGTCTGTAAGCCTCAATTCTCTATATAGAGGGGTGTCAAAAACATTAACAATATTTTGCTACTTATGATGAGCAAACTTTCTGTACTTATATTTGTTTGAAAGGCACTTATCAAAACATTCTCGAATGTCCCCGCTTACAAGCTGAAGAGGAATAAAAGACCACAGCAAGAGTCCTATCTAGCATGATATCACATCATAAACAATTTGAGACTTCACAATTATTGCTGCAGTCAACTGTTGCTTCCCCTCACATTCATTAAAAATTCCAAAAGAACATGTTATATACAAATGAGAAAATCAAAACCAAAGAGAATTAAAATGAGACAAATTTTGATATTTCAGCCCATTTTTCAAGTATCAACCCATCGCCTGTCACATTTTACTCACTCCGCACACAAAACTACAGCAACAAAAATATTATAGATATCTCAGTGGAATGTTGATGAAATATCATTTCACATAACGCAACCAATGTGTATTATATTAAACTCAAAACTACTTAGCCATAGATAGTATTATTATATTCAGCCAAACACAAAAAAACTACCTAGACACACTATACACCTGTAGCAGCACTATACAGCCACATGCAACACAAGAGCAACCTGGAATGAAATCATTACAATTTAATTACTTGAAAAAATAATGAATAATATGATCATCTCATTCAACTCGCACATTAGTGTGTTCACAAACTGATTCAACTATCTGATTCTGTTCTTTTACACACAACTTCTACACTAGACCCCCGTTTGCAATCCCAGTAAACACTTCAATGTACAGTATGCTACTATATTCACTAAATGAAAGTGTACGAGGATCAAACTTTCACTTGTAGAGAAACAGTTGACAGTGCAGTAAAGACATTGCAGTGAGAACAAAAGGAAGCGAAAATATTGCAACGACGACATTTTTAGAATATGCCACATTTCTTTAAATAGAACACATACCCTTAGCATAGAACTATGTGAATGTACAAGGTTATCTGTAAAAGAAGAACGCCCACTAGATCTAATAATCTTGATCTAAAACACGTTTTTGTCAATATAAACCACAAACTACTATACCAGTAGCAGTTTGACTTTTTTTTTTGCTCTCACAACAACAGAAAGAGAGGATTGGCAAGTGCTAGGTACAGACTATTCACACTGGTTGTAAAGATCTACAAGAGTTGAATGTAATCACAGAAGCCACATCACCATTTGCAAAATCACTTATCATGATATAACAGGCCTTATGAAGAAAAAGGAAACTCAAAATAATAAAAACTGCAAACACCCCGTTTTACAACCATGGATATAAAAAAGGTCTGTGTCACATTGTTTCTTTCACATCGTCAGTGTTGCAATCAGACAGAGAAACAAAAAACCCCAAAACAACCAACCCAAAATATTACAGGAGTTATTTCGCTGATATAATCTAAATTCAGTATTGAAACTGTTATTTCTAAACCCCAGAAATTGAAAGAAAGAATATACAATTTTGTTACTTATTTTCCAAACAAAACCTTGAAACTGATTTATCTAAACATCGGCAATCAAAAGAAAGAATATTTCTAAACCTAATCTCATGACGGATATTTCTAAACGCAATCTTCAGAACAAGTTACAGCGTAGAGGGAAGTAACCCAAATTTTACAGTTAAATTTTAAAGCATAACAAATTTTCAACATTTGAACTGATTAAACCACAACTTTTCAATTCTGAACTACTACAGGGAGATCTCAGCTGGCCCTGAGGCTGACATGAGCTAAACCTGAGCCTGTTACTATGCTCAAACCTACTCTTATGGCCACCTGCCCAAAACAAGTAGCCTACCTGTACAAATGACCACTTTCCACTTCCCCCCTTGCGTTACTTCAATATAGATAGATATAGATATATATATTATATTATATATATATATAAATATATATTATATTATATATATATATATATATATATATTATATTATATATATATATATATATATATATATATATATATATATATATATATATATATATATATATATATCATAACGACACTGTCCAAGACATCAACTTGTCTAGAACAACCACTTGTCTTCTCAACAACGGGCAGCCGTCTTGAACAATTTTGACTGTATTTGTAAAGGTACACAGATTGGATGCAACACTGACGACATGGAGTATCGCATACTGGCAAAGTGAGCCTACCTCCATGATAAAATCATAACATTTTATGGACATAACAGATATCATTAAAGCAGAATGCTAGTTCTGATCATAACCCTAGTTATGCAACAAAGCAAACAGCCTTAATGACCTGGCTGTTCTTTCTTCTATATGATGCTGAGTTTTTAGAGACAAAAAATGTAGTAAAAAAATACACATGTACAGAAGTATACACCCTTTCCATAGAAACAACGGTCACTATTTGTAACCGGTATTGTAACGCTTCAAATGTCAGTAGTGTGATAGGCAGCTATAAAAAATACAAATAAAAGTTACTATTATGCAGAGTTAAAGATACTTAAAAATCTGCTCTAAAATTTTAGAAAGTTTACAATGCATTATAAAACAAAATTGCTAACAAGAGAGAAGAGGAAGGAAAAAGAGAAATACATATAGTTTTTTTTTAAAGACTATTTTTGAGCACTTGTGCTGAGTTTTGTAACATCAGACACTTAGATATCTAAAACATGAGGACTAAAAACTAAAAAAACCCCCGTCTAACCAACATTATGAAATTGGAAAAAATGATATATAAAAACAAAGGAATGGGAACAAACAGAACGGAGTCACAAATTTTTCTGCTGTCCGCATTCATTAATATGCAAAATGAAGACAACAAAAATCACACCATCCAATACATAACCAAGAAAGGATTGGCACAAAATTGGTAAATATTTACAAATTATGAAAGATTGCGCACTACAGACTGTTCCCGCCTCCATCTAAAATATTATAAAAGCCCTTAAATATATTGTTGGCGACATGATCTATATTATTGAGGGTTCGAAACTATATATTTAAAACATAATCAAACAGTATTGTATCAAGTATGCAAGAGCAAAAGCAAAGATGGTTTCTAGAAGAACTTCTGTTTGAGAAAAGAAACAAAAAGTGTTCATTGTTTGTTAGAATTGAAGAGAAACACTGAAAAAAAGCAAGACAGACGGAGGAAAATAATGGATGAAAATAACAGTGAAAGAAAAGATAAAAGGACCAATCAGCAACACCTTTCAGCTACCTCAACAATTTCAGCAATACCAGAGGCCTTATCTATAATAATACTAGGCATGAATTAGGGGATTGAGAGAGAGAGAGAGAGAGAGAGAGAGAGAGAGAGAGAGAGAGAGAGAGAGAAAAGAAGCAGATCAAAGTTTATTTGTGGCACGACAATGGAATCAGGCTCTCGTCAATTTTTGGGCATATGGAGTTGATGGCATGATCTTAAGGCCTGTCCATTTTCCTTATTTTGGGAGAAAATAATATCCATCTATGTTGAATAGAAGTCGAGAATGTGTGATTGAAGGAGGAGAGGGTCATCTGGTTTCAGAGGTAAAATTAGGGAGAAAATGGCCGCCAAAGTTGAGTTATTTCTTTGGCTTGAGAGTCCGTGGAAATTGAAATTTGCATTTCTTCTGCCTTTAATCAACGTGTTTCAGTAAAATCTACACAGAAATGTGCTCTTTAATGGGCATGAAAGGTGTTGAACCAAATAACAAAATTAAAATGCTATAAAACTTCCCAAACTTGCTGGAAAATGCAAATTTCTTGACTTTCATTATTTTGACGAGCACCTGATTTTACCACTCTGCCTCACATTTTATAACGAAAGACAAGCATGGCCCTGATGCAAACAAGTGAGAAAAAAGAAAAGTTAAAAAAAAATTTTTTAAATGGTGAAGTGAAACAATCTGAAGGGAATAAATCTGATTAAAGCTCACAACCCTTAACGCTGTATAAAATTGTACTTTCACAAACTCATTAAAATGCGCAAGCACAGATTTTTTAATGCCAAGTCGCCAAAAATATTGCTTTCATTTATCACACAAAGTGATAACATTACTGACAGATAAGAAAGCTCAACTGACCAATCAAAAGTGACAGGAATCAATACCCTACGGAGCTACGCCAGAGAACAAAGGTCAAAGACCAATTACTGAGACTGCAGAAAGTGGTTAAAAACCAAGGGCTGGAAACAACGTTTATATATATTCAAACCAGAATACAATGGCAAAGTTGATGGTAACATATTGAGGGACAGAGGCAGGCAGTCACCTGAGCGAAAAATAACAAGCATTTTAATATCTAAATTAAACTTTTGAATACAAAGAATTACAAGCTGTTTTTTACGACAGCATTAACTGGACTGGTACCAGGAAATCTAAGGCAAGATCCCGTAAACAGACTGTCAAAATCATACATGACAATTCTTTTGTAAATTTTCATTAGTGAAGGCAGTGAAAAATTTGAATGCGAAACAGGACATTTCCTGGTTACAGTATTTAAAAAAGGACAATGCCAAAAAGATAATCCATTAATTAACTGAGCATCACAGTACTGGGAGAAATAGGGCAGATGTCTGTGTTTGGGACAATACTCGGGGACTAAAAAAGTAACAAGAATAGGAAAATGGACATTGTCTAGACTGCTTCAGCAAACAATAAAGTCTTCACGATACAGCACACAAAAAGGAAAGATCACAGTACCCATCATTGGTTCTTTTTCCTGTTTCACTGATTACCATTCACCTGCAAGTTTTTGCTGCTAAATATCTTTTGTACTGGCAACGATTTCCTGCCTTTAGTATAGTCCCAAGGCACATTTCACTGGCCTACAAATAAAATTTGACAACTCTAAAATGAACCATTCACACAATTTTCGGAAACCGCAGTGGATATATCCTTGAAAAAGATGATATTCTTGAGCCAATCATTAAAAACAGCACTGAAAGTGACAGCGGATTTATTACATGTATAGTATAGGCCCTTGAATATTAATTCATTATGATCAAAGACAGAAATTCTTGATAACTGAAACTCAAGAATATTTCTACCAGTGTCCAAACAGATAGTGGTAAGGTAGCGAGCTGTGAACAAATAATACCTTCAGAGGTTTCTTATTATTCCCAAAAAATGGAAAAGAAAAAACAAAAGCTTGTGACTGGAGGACGTCACTGGTAGTTCAAACTTCTTTTCTTTCCCTCTGTTGTTTCTGTTTTCTTACTTTTTCTTCCAGGAAAATGACCATTAATGTGTCAAGGCGCTTGTCCTTATTCAAACTCGAAACAAATTCAATACACACAAAAATGGTGATTGCCACAGTTCTGATCCCTATTTGACTCTCGGACGGACATACCATACATTGACCATCTGAGTACCTTATCCGCGCACTACCAGTATAAAAAGAGAATAGTTGTAAAGTGCCAAGTGCAGGCTGTAGAATATGCATTATATAAATGTAATTATTATCAGTTATTATTGTTACAGCTTCAGATGTTTTTGCACCAGAAACCAACATATTCACTAACAGTACAGTACTCTCTCTAAGGGCGCCAACAGAGTATTCACAGTAAAACAAAAGTGGAAAGAATATTGGGAATGTGACAAGCTTTGAGCTTCACACAGACGGCATCATGCGTCACTTCTAACGCTTCAAAAGCTGGGAAGCTCTGGACAAATGAGAGGACATGAAAAAACACATGTCATCACTGATGCAATTAGAGGAATAAGTTACGGGATAAGGAAATGGAGTGAGCAGGGGTGGGGTTATTTGGGGTTCGGTAGGGGATAAGCAAGGAGCGTGTTCCCAAGGTCTGTGGATGGCGTGGGGTGGGATTGGTTGGGGTTGGGATAAAGGGAAGGAATGCGTTCCGAAGTTTGTGGGGTGGGCTGGGGTTGGGCAGGGTAGGATGGGATAGGGTGAGGATGGTTGGAGTTGGGTGGGGGAATAGGCAAGGAATGTGTTCCCAAGTTTGTGCAGTTGGATGGGGTTGGGTGGGGTAAAGGCAAGGAGTGTATTCCCAAGTTTGTGGGGTGGCGCGGGGTGGGGTGGAGGGAGTCAGGGTTTGCCGGGGCGAGGGGAGTTGGTTCACTTCCGGGAGTTTATTTCTTGATAGCACGAGTCACAAACACGAGCTGGTTTCTTGGCTGTGGGGACCTGAGCTGTCTTGCTGGAGCATTCATTGCAATAGATGTGGCCACAGTTCCTGCAGTGATGCTGGATGAAACAAACAAAAGAAAGAACAACTTTGAAAGTTTGGAGAGTTTGAGTTGAATCTGAGAAAAGAGAAGCACATTTGGTAATTTTTAATGTTTTTTTTAAAGTAGAGTTTTACACCACTTGCAACACAATCAGGTCATATAACTATAAGTGCAGAAGATTAGAGGTGTTACAAGAGAGTGACAAGCACAAAAGAGGAGGAGGAGAGAAAAGGATGATAGATGTTTGATAGGATAGAAGGAGCAAACCACACCACAGCACCTGCTAACTGCCCATTAACAGTAATTTAGATTTGCATGGGTAAGCAAAAACACATTGACAACATAACGGTCATTTAGAGCAAGGAAAAACCAAGAGACGCCAAAACAGACAGATAAAAAGCAGAATAAAAAAAAAAAGAAGTAGAATCTACACATGGTTCCCTCCAATCATCTACACAGGCAACCTTGCAAAGACTCATTATGAAGGGCAAAAATGACAAAGACTAAGCAATAAATGACCAGCTTTGCTCCACGTCTGGTATGAGTTTTGCGTCTCTTTCAAAATTTTGGTTTTTTAAAATATTCATCCTCGAAAGCACAGAGGTACATGAACGCACTTGTGAATATTTTATACCTCCATCAACACAATACAAATTATTTAAGAGGCGGGATGTTCTGACTGCCTGTACTGGTCAACCTGGGCAAAGTGGAATACAACACACAGCCGGCAGGCAGAGATATTCGACAAACTGAATTTTTCCATCTGGGAATTGAACTCACACTTGCTGTGTACAATAGTGAAGAGCTTGACTACAGAATGAAAATGCTGTTCGAACAATTTATTATATCATTAGCCATTTGTTCAGATATTCTTAGCCCAAGATTTTGGAATTTTATTTAATTGCAGTTTCTTAAAAACGTATTGTTTTCCTGTGCTCCAGTAATATTTTGTCCAAATTAAAATCATAAAGCATGATTAAAATACATAATGTAGGTTTGTTAAAATAATGAAACAGTCTTTTCTCTCTCTTGAAAAAAAAACTTGCTTTCTGAGTACAATTAATCAACAGCATGCCGCCAATGTATATTTCTACATACATATTCACACGATTCGCTCACAGCATAAACAGCACAGAGAACAGACCCCAACAGAGCATCCTCTAAACATCCCCAAGGTCAATCAAGATAAGAAAGGCTAAGTGATGAACGGAGGACCACAAAAGCCCTCTCCGCCCTAAGCTCCCAGCTACAGCTAAGATAGAATAACAATGACCCCCACAGCACAACAAAAGTCCTCACCTTCCGCACGGTGACAGAGAAATTCTTCCCACAGGAATTGCACTCGGACACTTCGCTGTCGTCCGCCCATTTACGTCCTTGAACTTTCGTTGTTGTTATCTGGGGACATAATAGTTCGTAATATGTGACAATGACCAATTTCTTAAGTGAAACAATAAATCGATGAATAAGGCGTTGGCAAAGAACAGTATTTCTCAGGTGAAAGTAAAAAAGCATAAAAAATAAGGATTAAGATGACTTGTGGTTTCGGCAATGGCTAATGAGACCAATTCTGGGGATATAAGATCAGGTTATGCGAGGGATGAGGGAAAACAATTTTTTATAAAGCAATATAAAACTGCCAGCTTGGAAGCACTTCATATTTTCTGGACGACAACAGTCTGAATTGAGAGAAACAAGTAATAAGTCAATAAGTATAAAACTAGAATTTAGGTGCTTTTTTTAAAGAGCATTCAAACATGGACATGAGTGATTAATCATGATCACAAATGGCTGTCACGCAGAGGAGGAGGAGGAAGAGAAGAAGAAAGAAAAATAAGTAGAAATAGAAAGAAGAGGAGGAGGAGGAGGAGGAGGAGGAGGAGGAGGAGGAGGAGGAGGAGGAGGAGGAGGAGGAGGAGGAGGAGGAGGAGGAGAAGGAGAAGAAGAAGAAAAAGAAGAAGAAGAAGAAGAAGAAGAAGAAGAAGAAGAAGAAGAAGAAGAACAACAACAACAACAACAACAACAACAACAACAACAACAACAGCAACAACAACAACAAGAGGAGGAGGAGGATGATGAGGAGGACGATGACAACCACGACAACAAAGACAAAACAAAAAGTAAGCTACACCAGCCAGTATCAGCATTGAGTACTCACCTGTAGTGTCTGGTTCTCCCGGCCGAGCTCCTGTAGCGCGGCCTGTGTGTCCTCCAGCTTACGCCGAGACTCGGACACGGTTGTCCGCAGCTTCTCACACTCTTTCTCACTGGTCACACATCTGGACGGGAGAGAAAGCTTGTTAATGGAATATGTGTGTGAGTGTGTATGTGTGTGTGTGCGCCTGTGTGTGTGTGTATGTGTGTGTGTGTGTGTGTGTGAGTGTGTGTGTGTGTGTGTGTAATGTCAAGGAGAAAAGTTGTTGCCTTAGTCTCAGACAGGTGAACGTCTTACACAGTGTCATTATGATAAAAAAAATAACAGGGGGGAAGTGTTTGTTTGTACAGGTGATTAATTAATATAATTAATTCTATCTTTTTAGACAACAAACATCCCTTGTTCCCTCAAATAAAAACATCAGTTAGAAGTAAAAGACCTAAGCTTCTGATCTGTAACAAGGAAAGATACAGAAGGTCATTTTTACCATTTTCTATCAAAATGCTTCCATCTTAACCATCTTGTATAAGTAGACTTACGACCTTAGAGCATGCATCAAAATAACATTGAGTGTGTATCTAGCTTACAATTATTATTGTTTATATTGCTGCTCATTTATATTATGCATGTGATTGTAAGCCTACGTGTGTGCATGTGTGTGCGCGTGTGTGTGTGCGCGTGCGTGCGTGTGTGTGTATGTGTGTGTGTGTGTGTGTGTGTACATGTGGTGAAACACCAAACCAATGTGCCAGGATCTGGACAATAAAGATGTATCTTATCTTATCTTATCTTATTGTCTTGGACAGGTGGCCGTCTAGGACAGTGCCATGATACAAAAAATATACTTGAGGAGGGATGTAGGAAGCGGTCATTTGTACATGTGATTGTCTTGGACAGGGTCATTCTAATATAAAAACAACATAAGAAGAGAAGTGGGAAACGGTCATTTTTACTGGTGTTTGTCATGGACTGGTGCTTGTCTTACACAACTTTGTTCAGACTGTCTCAAGCAATAAAGCGTCATTGCAAACACAAGAGCTTACCTCTCTACCAGCACACGCCTCTCATCGTTGTTATTCTCTAGCTTCGCTTCAAGTTCTGAAAAGAAGAAAAAGTCAAAGTCAAGAATATTTCCAACAATTGAGTTGTATGTTTGAGTAAGAGAAGCACATCGACAAAATAAGGGTCATTTAGTGATGGGAAAACGCAAGACAGAGAGACGGAGAAAAAGGAGAGGAAGTAATGAATAGGGACCTACACCCTGCACCCTTCAACTGTCCATAATTTCAAACATTGCAAGCACTCATGCAGTGAATTCTGTGGGACACGAAACCTTTTCAATATGTATGAATTTTGTAATGTTCAAATTTCAGGCTACATCACAGGAGACAGACAAAGTTGGACAATTGGGTAACAAATGTACTGGAATAATGCCCCCTATTCCACATTAATGTGTACTCGGGTGAGGGGAGGGAGGACCTGTTACTTTATTCTACCCTTTTTATCTGTAATTTCTACTTCGTATTATCAATTTCCTATGGCTACTGCTTTGAAAAAATGAAATTTGTGCTCATCCGTTTGTAACAACATCCAAGATTCATCGCAGCAAGGGAAAGTACAAACATCCACAGAGGCCTCTTTGATGAGTAATAGCAAACACCAAACAGAAAGATAAAGATACCTAGTTTCTCCCCCTTGAGCTGGTCGGTGAGACGCGTCAGTTCATCGACCTTGCTCTCAGCGACGGTCAGATCAGTCCGCACAGTGGTCAAATTCTCACTCAGCAGCGACATCTGCATCTCAGCCCGGGCCTCTGCCTCATCCTTCTCCTTCTGCAACTCATCAAACGCTGTCTGCTGCGAACTCTGGGGAAAAACAATTGACAATGACAACTTTATTCATCTCGCAGAAAGAAATATATCTCGGTCGGTCGTTTACAATGGCGGTGGTGCGGCAAAAGTCATGTGCACTCACCCATACACACAACATGAAAGAACATTAATACAGAAGGATTGGGCAGCATTGTTATCTTAGCATTTTGTTACGTTATGACACTGCCACTTTTAAGAAAAAAGCAAAGTGTACTCCAATTTCATATGAGCATTTTTTTTCATCGACATTCAGCCACTTTTGAGAAACAGCTAAAGTACATTTCTATTCCACATTAGCATTTTTCTGCATCAGCAAACAGCCACTCGTTAAACATATTTCTACTCCTGAAATTTCCAAACATGAATCTTATCTAGCACCCTCTTGGAAGCTCAGTGGGAAGCAGTTTGGAGATATTACGTTAGCACACAAACCAGTATGCCTTGCGCTATCTCTAAAAATGCACCGGCTTGTCTAATCCTATCTCTAAAGACCTACCTGTTCGTCATGTTCAACCTCTAAAAGCATACCAATTGGGACTCTATTATTTCAAAAAACGTACCAGTTTGTTTTATACTATCTCAGAAAAAGTACCAGTTTGGGTCTATACTATCTCAGAAGAAGTACCAGTTTGTTCTATACTATCTCAGAAAAAGCACCAGTTTGTTCTATACTATCTCAGAAGAAGTACCAGTTCGTCTTTGAATATCTTCGAAGAGACCCCAGTTGGCCTCGTACTATCTCTACAGACATCTGAAGACATACCAAATAGTGAAAGCTGCATAAATTATATCTCTGAACACATATACAAGTTGGTCTGTACAATTTGCATAAATTGTCCCTGAAGATTTAACAGTTTGTGAAAAAAAACCACATACCAGTTTGTCCTGTAGCACCGAGTTATCCTTGCGTAGGATTTGCTGCACGTCATCTGCCTCCTGCTTCATCTTCTTCAGCTCCTCATTCAGTCTGCCAGATTCCCCTTGCAGTGAGTCCAGCTGGGTCTGTACTTCCAGCTTCTGCTGAATCAGCAGATCTTTGGCCTGGGTTAAAGTGGTGACCTCCTGTACAAAACAAAAGATAATAGTTGGTTATCGTTTTTTAGCAAAGAGAAGTACAATGACACGATAATGATCAATTAATGAATTAATGTGAGAAAGACAGACACAGACAGTCAGGCAGAAGCAAACAAGGGAAAGTGAAGAAACAGGACCTACCAATGATGCTTTCCATCCATCCATAATAGAGGCTTTGAAGATTGTTAAAAATGATTGCCAATATTTTGAGACCCCCCCGCACAATTTAAACCATTAAGAAAATGGGCAGCTTCGATCTTACCTACCTGGAACAAACTGAGGTGTGTAGGACACAACATTCCAATAGAAAGATGGAAATACTCTGAAAAATATTTCTCCAACATGAGATTCCTTTGTGACATTTTCAAGCCTGCGTCTTTTTGAAAAAGTTAGATTTTCTAAACAAAACAGAACGAAACAAATGCAACACAATCTTACAAACTGGTCTCTTGTAAAAGACTTGAGACAAATGAACAAAAATAATGAATGCAAAATACCAAGATCAAACTGAGAGAAGAAAGACAGCACAAGAACATAACAGTGAAATTGTATTTTCCCTGGGCCCAAAATCCTGATCTTCAGGTGCAAACTCAAGTACAGATGTACTTTTTAGTTTATCTGTTCGTCTGTGGTCCACAACAGCTTTTATCTTGCCTTTGTCTTTCAACAGTTGATAGAAAGCTTAGAACAAGCCCTCACCTTTTGCTTGCTGTCCTGCTCAGCCTCCAAGGCCGCCTTCAGTTTAACAGCCTCTTTCTCAAACTCATCCCTGCCTGAGCTGGCCTCTGCTAGATCTTTCTTCACCTGCGACAGCTCCTGCTCCAGAGTAGCCTGTGGGTGGATGGTCCTTGTTGTAGTTTTTTCGTGTGTTTTATTGTGCAAAAAAGCACAGGAGGAGGAGGAGGAGGAGGAGGAGGAGGAGGAGGAGGAGGAGGAGGAGGAGGAGGAGGAGGAGGAAGAGGAGGAGGAGGAGGAAGAGGAAGAAGAAGAAGAAGAAGAAGAAGAAGAAGAAGAAGAAGAAGAAGAAGAAGAAGAAGAAGAAGAAGAAGAAGAAGAAGAAGAAGAAGAAGAAGAAGAAGAAGAAGAAGAAGAAGAAGAGGAAGAAGAAGAAAAAGAAGAAGGAGGAGAAGGAGAAGGAGAAGAAGAGGAGGAAGAAGAGGAAGAAGAAGAGGAGGAGGAGGAGAAGAAGAGGAGGAAGAAAAAGAAAATCATTTATACAGCACACATCCATGCTCTACAGCATGCTCAATGCACTTCACAACTTTACAACATCAACACAATAACAGTAATTTATTGCAAGAAAATGTATGACAAACAGACAGAAACAAAAACAAAAAAATAAATAAAAGTAAAGAAGTAGGAACCACCACTGGTGTCCTCCAATTACCAACATAGTACTTTTTTTCAGATCAACCCACAGCCTTTGCTTCTATAAACACTCAGACACATAAATTGATTTCATTAGAATGGAATAATTCATATTCTGTTTTCTCGGGTTCTAAGCTCACTTTTCACACCTGCTATTTGAAGTAGTGTTAACAGAGATGAGCACAGATAAGAAAGAATAGAGTTTTATAAACATTTTGTCTCCTTGTGTCTGCCCCGAGACTGCATACCACAGCACACTACATCTCACCAGAGCCTTTTTTGTGAAAGGAAACATACGATTTGTGAATATTTAACCATAATATTGAACAGGTCAGACAATTTTACCAAAAAACATTCCACTCACATTTACTGTGACAAGACAAATTTTTAAAAATCATTAAAATCCCAATAAAGTGCAAACCTTTTTCTGCTCAAGATCAACTTTAGCATCCACAGCCTCTTTCTTTTCTTTATCCAGTTCCAACATTTGAGCATTCATAGCACCACGGATCTGAAAAAAGGCAACAAAATGAATATAAAAACTTCACTCCTTCTTATTTTGGCTTATTGAAACAAGAAATCAGGCCACAAAACTCCCAACTTGGTACGCCATGCTTGAAAAATACACTGTTGGGTAACTGAAGAGGTAAGACCTTGGAAATAAACATCCATTTCCAAATGGACTGAGCCATGAGCATGGAGAACTTGTAATCCCCCCCCAAAAAAAACAAACAAAAAAAACAAACCAAACCTGGAGCAAGAATATCTTACTGACATTAAAAAAATAAAACCAGGGTTCTCTATACCAGAACCACAGACTGATACCCCCGTAGGGCATGGCCAAGCATGGTTCACTATCAAATGCAACAATATCCCAAATGGAACAGTTTTTTCTTCTTCTTCAAGTGCAAGATCAGAAACAGACATCAGAAATCACGGTTCACCAATAATTTCTCTACTCACATGATCTAAAAAACAAAAAACAACCTACATTATACTTGTCTTTAACATCACCCATCAATTCAAGTTCTCTGAGTAAGTACTTCTTGGCTTTTATCTGCCTCTTTTGCCATCTACTTTTCCAGGGAGAGCATTATGCCTTATTCACTCAAATGCAATAACACTTCATTCTCCCCCTCCCTACCACCCATCTCCCACCACCACCATGACCAACCACCTACTGACCTCACTAAGCTGCTCAAAAGAGTTGTTGAGCTCCGTCTCTCTGTCTCTCGTAGCCTGCAGTTCGTCTGTGCGGGTCTTCAGTTCTTCCTCTCGCTGCTCCAGCTTCAAGGTCATCTCCTCATTCTTCACCTCCAGCACATTCAGTTTCTCCTCCGTGCTCTGAAATAACAGAAAGTAACTTTTGAATAAAAAGGAAGCAAAGTAAGCCCTTTTAAGCCTTATTTCTTTTTTTAAAAAGAAATATTATTCTCCCCTGCAGATGAATCGGTCATTGTCAGACATTGACAGAAGGACTATTATTATTATTATTATTATTATTACAAAGAGAAACATATCACTAAAACAACAGTGCAGACAAAATGGACAGTCCTTCCACCTTCACATTGAGAATCCAGCAAACCTTGACAAAGTTTCCGTCACTTTTGCAAGTATGATGGGAAGAAAAAAGATAAAACAAGCATCTTTTGCACAATTAGCCTTTGTGTGCTCATAATCACAGAAACTGGGGGGGGGGGGACCCCAAAAACAAGAGTTTGCATCATTTACACCTGCCTGTGATGTAAGTTACAGACAAAACAGAAAGGGACAAAAACCAAGTATTAGTATCAAGAGTCTCTCTGTGCTCTTAACCAAGCTCTAACTTACCTTCAGTTGAGCAGACACTTCTGTTACTTTGGTCTCTGAAGTTTGCAAAGACTCTGATAGCTTCTTCTCTGATGAGTCCCTGTCTTGCATCTGAAATTAATTTAAACATTTTAAATTAACTCTAGTCCTGCGGGGTTAACCGGAAGAAGGCTCTTATCGATCGATGACCCACTTACGTCGCCTGCGGGCTTGTGCCGCGGGGCACCGGGGCCAGGCACTGGTCACACGAGCGTGCCGCGGAAGGTCAGGGAAACACCTCATCTTTTATAGCAAACTGATACGATCAATGAATAAGTGTTACGATCACACGAATAATCCCATTATCCCCTCGTCGGTAGATCAGAGACGCTGAGATTGGAAGTTACACCAAATCGAATAACTTTTCCAGAGTTTTCCAGATTTCACACCTATTATGAATGAACTTGCGAACAGCTGCTTGCTTATCAGCTATCGTTCGAAAGGGGAAAAAAATGGGATAGTTTCCGAATATTTTTTTTATTCAGTTGCTCTCAAATGTCTCCCTCGCGGGATTGCGCTTATCGGGCAAACATTTATCAGGGACCAGAATCTTAAGGGTTAAAGTAGAACTGCGTTACTTTAAAACAAATCTACACAGTAACTTTTAAATATCAATACTTTTTCTCTCTCTATTTCTTTCCGAACTAGCAGTTGCAGAAAAATTGAACATTTTTCTTCCTTTTCTCCCTCATGTTCATTACTTTCTAATCCTTTTTATCCCCCCCCCCCACTCAACTTATTTTCTTAGCACAGTTCTAATGTTATAAGTCAAACCACAATTGCATAAATGGTTCTTTGGAAATTCACCAGTAAGGACTTTGAAGGCACCTTTATTATTTCCTCCGTCAGAAATCAAACTTTTGTCTCCTGCAGGCAATGGTGGAAAGCCTTTTCACAAAGCAACAAATGCCATACCATGTAAAATAAGATTATGTCAGTCACATTGACAGCATGTGAATCCTACAAAAAGTGTAAATTTCCAATATAAAAGTCCTTCAACTTACCAGAGCATCAATCCTGTTCTGCTTTTCTGCTGACTGGCTTTCCAGCTCTTGCTTGGCAGTTTCAAGACTTGACTTGACACCCTCCAACTCAGAGACCTTCACAAAGACAGAAGAAAAAATGCTATCGTTTGAGTTTGAGGAAAGAGAAGAAGATCAACACAATATTGGTCATTTAGGGCAGGGAAGAAACAAGACAGATAGACAGAAACTACAGAGGGAAAGAAAAAAAGTTGGACCTACCAGTGGCTTCTCCAACCACCTATGAAAAGGAATTAAAAGTATCCAATCTCAGTGTAATTGGATGAATACACACTGTTTCACTGAAACATACATATCAGGACAGAATTGAAAATGAACCAATTTGAGCTCCTTCATTGCCATGGTGCAAATTCAATGAAAGATTTGGTCATAATTATCTATATATCATTATCATTATTGTCGCTCTTTTCCGTAACATCTTTTAAGCTGTTGTTTTCACAAAAGATGTTCACAAAAACGACATACCATTTTTGGCATATTGAGCAGGAATATAAACAAAATATAATCCAATGAATGCTTGAAGTAGTTGATCAAAAGCCCATCTTCCTGTAAGTGTTTTAAGTTGGGTTCTATTTCCTTGTTGTTTATTTGATTAAAGAGAAGCATATCAACATAATAACAATCATTTACTAATAGGGGAAAGTAAGACAGACGGACAGAAACAAAATAAATAAATAAAAGAAACAGGACCTACTAGCGGTACTGTCATTCACCCACCAACTGGATTACTGAACACCTTGTTTGACAGCTACAAGCATGATCTTTACGATACCATGGTACAAATCATATCACTATTGTTAGGCTGTTTTAAATTCTACAGAGAAGAGACATTGAGTAAAAGGACTCAGTTTATCAATAGAGACAAAGTTGACTTACCTTCTGAGTGAAATCTTGAATTGTCTTTTCTTTTTCTTCCACTTGTTTCTGAAAGATTAAAAAAGAGCACGTTGTAAGTTCATTGTGATTATATAAGTATTTTCAAAACTCTCTCTCTCTGTCTGTCTCTCTGTCTGTCTGTCTGTCTCTTTTCTTTCCCTCACTCGCATCCCCCCCCCCCCAAACCCCCACACAAAAACAACACTCATACTCCTCTTATTCTATTTTCCTTCTCAAGACTCACTCACTCAACATTGCCTCAAAAACATTGATAAATATCACTCCAAAGAACATAAACATATCCTAACACAAACAAGATTATTATATTTTTTAAAAATATCATCAATGTCTGACTCTAATCGTGTATGTGCTTGAAATCAATCTTCAGAAAAGTGGGAAAAATATAATGTCTTCCTTATTACCTTTTGGAATTGCTAAAAATGTCGCACTGGGTGTTCTTATTACACATTACAGTATCACCAATCATAATCACGGTTGTGAATACCATATTTTGTGATAAAAAAAAGTGTTTGGCCTAATCTGGCAGATATACAGTTGGAGTCAGACACCCTCAATACACATCAGTACAACTGGGAACTCTATGCACTTTGCAAAAAAGAACACAAGGCTGAACTCCATGCACTTTACAATACAGAACACAAAAGGGAACTCTATGCATAATCTTTACAATACAGTATGCAAGTAGCCAACACAAGAGGGAACCGTAATGATTCAGTCAGTCACGAACCCTTACCTTCTCAGCAGCTATTTCCTGCCTCAAAGCCTCTGCCTTTTGTTCCCATTCAGCCTCCTTCTCCTTTTGACCTTTGTCCAAATCTGACTTTTGAGACGCAAACTGATTCTGAAAAATGAGTCTTGAGTTGTACTATACCGCAAGTCACCATGATAAAGGTTGAATTTTGCAGGGAGGTTTTTGTATGAGTAAAGAGAAGCACATTGACACAGTAACTGTAATTAAGGGTAGGGGAAAAAGAAAGGCATCACTAACAAAAGGAGGGAGGGGGAGGAGGTTGCAGCTTTACTATATCTTCTTTATTTTAAAAATCAACGAACATTTTCAAAAAGGGGTGTGGGTGGTTGGTGGGTGCTCTGGTGTGATTTGCTCCTTTCCTATCAAACATGTAACATCCTTATCTCTCTTCCTTTTTATCTTTGTATAACAACTCTCTAGTAACACCCCCAATCTTCAGCGTTAAATATGACTTATTTGTGAGTTGCAAATGCCATGTAACTCTGACTAAGATTAAAACAAAAAAGGGTGTGCTCTCTCTCTCTCTCACCTTCTCCTTTTCCATTTCCCCTTTCAGGCTGTCAATTTCTGAGGACTTTTGCTTGACCTGGTTGTTGAGGTCCGTGATCTCACTGACCAGTTTCACTTTCTCCTCACTCAAGCTGTTCCTCTCAGTGCTCAGAGTGGACACCTGGGGAGAGAGACAAAAACACACATCAGACATGGAGATCTGGGAACAAATTCGGATTGGGAAACACAAACTCACATTCGTAGACACCAAAGTCCGGGTACAAGTTAGGATTGGGAAATACAAACACACATCTGTAGACACACCAAAATCTGGGAACAAGTTAGGATTTTGGGAAACACAAATACATGTCTGTAGACACCAAAATCGGGGAACTAGTTAGGATTGGAAGAAACAAAAAAACACATATGACACAGATAGCTTGGAATAATTTATTATGACTTCTGGGGGGGGGGGGGGGGTGCCACTTCGAAAGAAAACAAGAATATTAAAAAGATTCTTCACCAACCTCCTTAGAACAAATCTGGCTTGTCTCAAGTGGCAAGATGACATAAAGTGTGACCTCTCTCTCTCTCTCTCTCATCCTCCATTTCTCCCTCACTTTTCATACACATAAGCTTTCTCTCTCTCTCTCACCTTCCCCCTCTCTCCCATTCACTCCTTATACACGTATGCTCTCTCTCTCTCCCTCACCACCCTTCTCTCACTCCCCCCCCTCTCTCTCTCATTCACTCTTCATACACGTAGGCTTTCTCTCTCTCACCAGCCTTCTCTCAGCTCCCCTTCCCCCTCTCTCTCTGTCACTCTTCACACATACACATGCAAGGTACAACTTTCCCTTCACCTGTTTCTCCAGTTCTTGCCGGGCAGCTTCCGAGGCACTCCGCTCTTTCTCCAACTCTGTGGTCAGTGAGGCAACTTGACCGCTCAGGCTCTCTTTGTTCTGGGAGAATGATTTTAAAAAAATAAAAAATTGTAATAATAAAAGTAATAACATTATGTGAATTTATATTGCACGTAAAGACTAGAAGGCTCAAAGTATTTTACAATGCAGAACTATCACTGGAAATCAAAAGAAAAATGTTCATTGTGAGGCCATTTAAACAAACAAACACACACCCACACACACATATACACACACACCCACACATTTACACACACACCCACAACCACACACTGGCAAATCAAAAGCAAAAATATTTATTGTGAGGCCATTTAAACACACACACACATACACACACTCCCACACACAATAGTGAAGAGACTAACCACGACACCACAGATATCGGTTTCCAGCATATAGTAAAACTATAACTAAAACAACTCAGTACCTGTGTCAAATCTGTGCGTGCAGTTTTCAGGTCCGCCTGTGTACTCTCCAAATCTTTGGTCACCTTCTCCAATTCAGCACTTTTGTCAGAAAGTTTCCTCTCAGTGTCCGCGAGACTGGAACTCTGAGAAACAACGAAGACGAACATTTGACTTTACGACATTACGCGCTTTGGTCCTTTCAGCTTGTAAACATGCATGTTTTTGGCTTCTATACTTTGTCCTTGTATTGTCCGCAATACTACAAAGGAAAAAAATACCGATTGTAAAATGAAATGCATTCATTTTTTCAACTTTAAGGAAAGTATTTTCTATATTTATAGAACTTTCATGTATGCTATTAACTTAAGCACACTAATCATTTAAGTGTTCATACATCTTTAAGCTTCAATGTCATTCGTTCATTTAGCAAACATTTATGCACACATTCACAGACCATAAATTCCAAGTTCAACTGCCAGTATTTCTCAAAAACATTTTGATCATAGAATACCACTCTTTCTCTGCTCTGATGCTCCCCAAACCTATGTTAACCTCATCTTTTCCTGATGAGAAAGTTATTGTACGCCCAACTCTGCCTCTTCAGCCTTAAATTTCTCCATGAAAATATTATGTTCAGGGTTTTATTTTAATCAATTCAAGAGCCCTAAACATAGAGTGTGTCTCTTCCTAATTGTTTGTATCATTGGCCATCCCATGCAGGCTCCTTTCAGCACCATTTCTTTTTGACTTCTTTGCTTTCCATCAGATTTTCAAACTCTTTTCCCCCCACAAACTCACGGTAGAATTCAGCTTCTCCTGCAATTCTGTTTTCTCTGTATTCAGTCTGTCGACTTTTTCTGACAACTCTGATGTCTCCGACTCTCTTGTCTTCTTTTCCTGGGAAGAAAAGCACAACATTTTGTATGGTCAGCAAAAGCAATTGTCAATAAAAATGTCTAACGTCCCATCGACATATTTTGGCTCCTTTGGGGCCGAGCTGCTACAACCCTGCCTGTCAAGGCCTTCAGGGGCTGAGAGGGACACAGCACCCTAGCAGACAGGCAGATATACTCTAAATAAAACCTCATACATCTTTAAGCATTTTGCCTTTAATATCATTCATTCATTTATTGAACATCTTCGCACACATTCACAGACCACAAATTCCAAGTCTACCAACCAGTACTTCTCAGAAACATTCAATACACATAAGACAAAGTCAGTCAGCATTCTAGACAAAGGGACCTAACTGACTGAGTAAAGTAATTCAAATCAATAGAAGCCAACATGTCTTTTGAATATGACAGCAAAGAGCCAAAGATGCCTGTCTACAATTAATCATAATTTGCTCTTCATCCATATTAGTCACAGGCATACAGCAATCGGCCCAAAGTTAGGATCTAAACAATTTCAAGAACCTTGAATTTTTTTATTCATCTGGAAATTCTGCACTTCCGCCAAGAGCAAGGTGCTGTTACATCTGTTGCAGATGGGTTTTTTTTTAGCAGTTGGCAGAAGGGGGACAAAGTAAATAAATCAGAACGAACATGCCGGTCTGCAGAGTTGTGAAGTCACATGACCCTCCTATCTGGAGCAAAACAAGACAATATTTCTCACTTTCATGTTTATCTTAGACATAATAACACCAAAATATAGGAGAAAAAAAGGGGGTTATGAGAAGACCTACTGTTTCCAGTTGTAGTTCAGCTGTTTGAAGTTTCGCCTTCGTCTCTTCCAGGTTTGTTTTTGTAGTGCTCAGTGTCTCTTCCACTTCTTTCTTCTCCTTCTCCAGTTCATTAAGGCCACTTGTCTGCAGAAACAGAAAACATTGGGTTTACAAAACTGTTCCTTATTTAATGCAAGAGATTTTAAACACTTACTGAAACACATGACTTAAGGAATCAAACATTCTCTACACAAATCTTTAACAAGTCAAACGAACAGTTTTTAAAAATGTCTATTAAAACAATATCAAGAATGAAATACATGTTAAAAGCTTTATAGTATGTTGTGTTGTTTTTTTGTTTCTCCTTAAAACTTTCATCTCTGCAACACTTACAGTGTAACATTTTCACAAGACAGTATGATGAGGAATTAAATTAGCCATACTGGTCTAAGCTAGAGGTAAAAAAATAAACAAAACAGAATTTAGCCACAAGAAAGGAAAATAACCCAACCATATTGTTCATCATTTACATAGACTGAAAGCAACAAAAACCATGACTAATAAAACCCTTTTTAACCTTAATAAACTGAATCAGGCACAAACAATTTTTTTTCAACATGCAAAATTGTACGGGTAAAACACCCCTCACACTGTAAGGTTAAAAGTCAGGACAAGGGACCCAAAAAAAAAAATGTTAAGAAAATTGAAGAAAGGCACAAAGGACGAGGAGGAGGAAGAAAAAGAATAGGAAGACCTCTTTACCTTCTCTTTGACGTTCCTCTCCAGAGAGTTGGCCCTCTTGTTGCTCTGAGACAACTTCTCCTTCTGTTCCCCAAGCTTCCCTTCCAGCTGTGCAATCTTCTCCTTGCGTGAAGTTACATCTGTGTTTGCCTGTGGGGAAAATATACATGTTAAAATAGTTAAACATTTTCAAAGGTCCTACCGTCTTCATGGACCAGAAACAGACATCGTTAATTATGGTCTATCACTCATTTCTCTGCTTTAATGCTTTAAAAAATCTTATATTATCCTGAGTTCTTTCCCTGACACCCATTAAAGGCCCTGCCCCAAAGCACATAAATACAAACTTTTTTTATGTTTTGGCAAACATGTGGGTATATATTGTGAGAGAAAACGTAATAGGAATGTGCGTAAGAGCATTCTAGTCATAGACTAGTAATATTAGTGTCTAGACCGCACACCCAGACATATCTCATAGAATCACTTTGGGGCATGTGCCACTCAGCCAAATAAAGGGCAAAGGGACAAACGTGCCACACCCACTCGAACTTGACAAAATGAAAGAACTCCCAGTAAAAGGTCAAAAACAAAATTAACATGGAAATCGTCGTAAAAGACATTGCCCGGGCCTCTGCCAGCGACTCACTGGCACAGCAGTTCTCACTGCGAGCCACTGGTAGCTGCTTGCTGTAGATCAGGGGTTAAATATGAACAAAATGATGAAATCTCCATAAGGAAAATTACTGTACAGCTTATGATAAAAAAACAAACACTGACCTGTTCGAGCTGTCCCTTCACTGTGGTGAGCTGAACATTGGCTTTCTCCAGGGATGTGTTGACCGTCTGGATGTGATTCTCCAGGTCCACTCTCTGACTGGTCTTGGCAGCCTCTGAGGCTAACAGCAGCTCCGCCTATATAGATACAGGGAACAGTGTGTGTGTTTGTAATCAGGTGATAAATGTGTTGTTTCAGTCTGAACTGCAACAATACAAACACAGGAAACTCTCTCTCTCTCTCTCTCTCTCTCTTTATACATACATATATATATATATATATATATATATATATATATATATATATATATATATATATATATATATATATTATATATATGCCTTCTCCTTTGTTTGCAATGTAGCAGTTACACTGTTCATAGTTGCATGCAGAAGACACGAGTTTAATTTCCATTAGGGGGAAGATTTATGTCAGGTTACTCTGTCTGTCTGCTGCGATGTTGCAACGCACTTAAACTCAGTTTGCCCTGACAGTAACAGTTAGAGCATCCGCCTCCTAAACTATCTGAATTGTGTTTACTGAAGAAAAAACACTAACAATTAGCCCTTCATTTACTTTCAGGTTTCTTTCTATCACCTTTTTTTAACCTCTTACCTTTTCCGTCTTGTGTTGATGGGGAAAGTAAAAGATTTACAGAGGGTGGTTGGCCGGTGTTCTGGTGTGGTTTGCTCCTTCTTTCCTATCAAACATCTATCGTCCTTATCTTCCCTTCTTCTTTTTTTCTGTTTGTTACTCTCTTGTAACACCTCTAATCTTCAGGCGCTCATATGAACTTATGCAGTTGAGTGCGCCGTAAAACCTCTACTAAAACTAAAACTAAAGATTTACAATTACAGTTAACATTCCTAAATCCTCACCTTCGTTTTGAGCTCCGCATCCACACTTTGCAGTTTCTGTTGTACTGAGTTCAATTTGGTCGACTTTTCTTCCACGCTGGCCTCCAGCTTCGTCACTTTGGCCTCCGCCTCTTGTAGCTGACCTTTGACCTCCCGCACTTGTTTATGCAAGTTCTCCTCTTTGGCAGAGTGCTCGTTCGTCTGGCTCTCTATAGATGTTTCAAGGGCTGACACTTTCTCTTGCAAGGATGTCTGTTATTGGTGTTGTTGTTTGAGTAAAGAAAAGCAAATCGACACGGTGCTGGTTATTTAATGCAGGCAAAAAGTTGACTACAAAGAAAAGTGCATCAACATATATCATATAAGTTATTCAGAACAGCAAAAACGTAAGACAGACAGACAAAAAAACTCCACCTGCTGGACATCTGGACAAACAAAATAGTGAATGACACTGACATTATACAAACAGTAGAGTTGTAGTTGGCAGAAGAATGCTGACAAAGTAACACCTATTGAAGTCTGAACAAAAAAAATGTTGATAGTGAAAATGGCATTAACCCTAAAAAGCCCCATAGTTTTAACTTCATTTAGAGGGCAAAAAGGAGATTTTTTACATAACATGACTGACAACTATGTATGAAAGTTACCGCTAAATGGCACTTTGATGATCTCAGCAGGCCTGAAAGAGTTCTAGGCGAAGCACAGGAAATGTTAGTCAAAGGGTTTAAATTACAACAATACAATATCTCCTTGGTATATTGCTTTAACCGCATGACAGTAAGAAACAGGTCAACTCCTTTTTAATTCTAACCATTGCTGAGATCAATCCGTAGCTTCTCTATAAAACCCATAGTAAAAAAGTAATGAGGATTAACTTTTGCATCTTCTCTCACCTTTCAAATCAAGAGGGGGCTCATTCATGCCAAAAAATTTTCAAGAAACCATGTATGTGCTAAGAGCATAACAATGTCAATCTTTACCATTAAATCCTTGAATAAGTAACCACATCATCGATGTTCACTCGAATCGTGTGTCCCCTAAATTAGGTCAAACAGTTCTTTTGTCTATTATTATGTTATTCACAACTGTTATTACATCTGGTGATACTAAAATAAGTAAAAAGAACATCCCATAAACAATTTTGAGAAATTCTGGAAGATAATAGATAATAATTTTTTTTAAAAATAGCCTAGTATGGCAGGTACATGGTTAGAGTCGGACACCAAAGAAATTTTCCTCATCTCACTCACGTTCTCCTGCTTCATCTGACTGATGAGCTCATTGGCTCCATCCCCAGCCTCGATCTTGGCCACCAGCTCCTCCCGTTCTCCTTCCAGGCGTTGTTTCTCCTCAGACATGGCAGTCAGTTTGCCCTCCACGTCTCGCACTTTCTCCTCTCTAAATAAATGGTGTTTTTATTTTTCAAAATGTTATTGTTTGTACAACTAACTTCTCAGCTGTTAACAAAATAGATTTTGTATTCTGACGCTGTTATGTAAGAAGCAATCTTTTCATCCCTAAAAACCTACTCACAAAACATTTTAAAGATTTTTGAACAAAGAGGACCTCAGGAGACGGAGGAAGAGGTGGCAGCAGAGGAGGAGGATGGTTGGCAGCAACAAATGAAGAGAAGATATTAGCACTTAAGTATTGTAAGAAAAAGAAGAATAAGAATACTCGATGTTATAAAACCCAGGCTTATCCAGGCTATGGCAATACAGTGATAATGAAGCTACATGGATGAATAAATGACTGAAGCAACAAGGCAAAAGATAGATTGGAGCAGAGATATGAACATAAAAATGTTTTCTTTTTAAAACAGTAGTAGTAGTAGTAGTAGTATAGGGTTTTACGGCTTTTTAAAACAACCCCCCACTCCATTCCTTAACTGTAGGTACCAACAATATCAGTAGTTATTGTTGGCTACTTATTTCCCTGCTTGGGTGCTCTAAATAAAACTTATGTCATCCTGGTCTTTTCCTTTTCATCCATCTGTTCAAGTTCTCAAAGTTCCCCCAAGATTTACTGTGTAAAAACAAAACAAATCCCAGCCCGTACATCTGAGCCAGCTTCCTGCTCTCCTCCTCCAGTCTCCCGTCTCTCTCCAGCACCTGGGACTTCAGGTCATCCGAACAGCGTCTCTGTGGGGCACGACAGAAACATAGCTACACAGTCCAGTACATTCTGTACAGACACATGGGAGACTAACGTTTTCCAAATTACAGGGCAACTGCAACCATCTCTATACAATTCTACAATTCAGAAGATTCTTTACAGACACATGGGACACCAACGTTTTCCAAATAACTGGGCCAATAGAAATATCTTAATACAATCCAACAGATTCTTTATAGACACACGAGGGACTAACGTTTTCCAAATAACCAGGCCAATACAAATATCGTAACACAATCCAATAGATTCTTTATAGACACATGTAACACCAACGTTTTCCAAATAAAAGAGCCAATACAAATATCTTAACACAATCCAATAGATTATGTATAGACACATGAGAGGCTAATGTTTTCCAAATAACAGGGCTAATACGAATATCTTAACACAATCCAGTAGATTCTTTACAGACACATGAGAGACTAACGTTTTCCAAATAAAAGGGCAACTACAACCATCTCTACACAATCCACTAGAATCTGCACAAATCTATGTGTAGTGGAACGCAATAATCATTCTTCGCCTTTCATTTCTCAGCTAGAATGCTCTAAAAAAAAAAAAAAATTACTCTGGTCTTTTCTCTTTTGCCTATCTGAAAAAGTTCTCAAAGTAAGAAATTCTTAGTCTACCTCTTGAGGCCTTCGTCCACCTTAAATTCAAATATTTTTTTTTGTGGTAAGTGTTTTATGGCACTCGCAACTGCATTAGGTCATATGAGCGCGCAGGACACACCAAACATTTTCAATTGGTAGGAAATTTTGGATTTTGCCCGGGTGGCGGCCAAAGCCTACTCTTTTAGATTTTCGACCACCAGGGAACTTTAACGTGCACAACTTGCACACGGGACCTCCGAGATTTTTCGCCCTTATCCGAGATGTGTAGATCTTTCCTACCTGAAGATCAGGGGTGTGGCTGAAAGACAGCAGTAAGAAGGAGCCAAGAAGTAGCAGAAGAAAGGCTGCAGAAACAGTCAGGAGCCCAGAGTAGGGGCAAAGAGGGTGTGGGGGAGATTGAAAAAAGTGGAGACGAAAGAAGACGACATAATATTGCAAGAGAGAAGGAATGAGGGTGAAAGGAGACAATTTCAGATAAAATTTTTCCGTCGCTACCCAGATTCGAACCCGAGACCTTCGATTGAGAGGCGAACACCTTAACCTCTAGGCCACTAGGGCTCCCAAATTCAAACTATAAAATTCTGATGTCAGACAAGAATAAGGGAAATCCAAGGAACAAAATATGCAGACATATGTCAGACAACACAATGATCATCAAATTCTCACCTCCTCATCAAACACTTTGTTGGACGTGGCCAGCTGGGCTTCCAGGTCAGAGATTTCATTGGACTTTGTGTCCAGGTCGGCTTGTAGCTGCAAACAAAGAACAAAGAGACCGATCAACATTTCCTTTGCATGTAATAAAAACGTGTAGAATTGTATAGGATTAGTATCCATCATCTGACATGCACATGCCATCTTTTTTCAGCCCAGCGGGTGTACACAACATCAAACACTTTCAAACAAACGACTGCTCCAGGCAGGTCTCAAACTTAAACAAAGACCTGCTTCCTAATTCTAACAACATTTTTTTTAAAGTGTTTGGATTACCTTGGAAAAAAAAAAGTAGATATCACATCGGTAAAGAAACAAAGAAATAATTGTAACAAAAGAAAAAATGCAGAACAAACTATCTAGACAAACAGCATTCCAGCTTAGAGTTTTTGTTATTTCCAAAAGAAGTTTCATTAATTTAATAGCCAGGTCAAGTCATTTTTGTTTTTAGGGTTTAAAAAAAATATATACATAGATTTTTCGTCAGACTGCAATGTATTGTCCACTTGTTGCTACCTGTATTTGTAAAGCACCCAAAGCCCCTGTTCTTTAATCCGGGTAGAGAGCGGTACAAATATCACATATTGTAATAACAATAATTATTATTATTATTATTGTCATTATTATCATAATCATATTTAAGTAAGTGGTGGCACCCCTTTTAGTCCTCACTTTCTCGGCCTTGAACTTGAGCTCATTGAGGAGCTGTTCCTTCTGCACCATGGCGGACTGAGACACCTCGGCCGAGTCTCCCATCGCCTTCTGGACACTCTCCAGCTCCGCTCCCTTCTCCTCCAGCAATTTCTTGGTCTGGACAAAGGGAAAAAAGAGCAAAAATGTCATTTTGACACAATTTACAGGACATCTTGTTTCTGAACGTTTGTTTTGATTGTTTGAGTAAAAAGACGCACAGCATCAACTCGATCAATATGTTTTCCTCCACAAAGACAAGACATACTTTCATGATTTTCATCTATTCTACTTCTGCATGCCATTTCCTTCAATATGACATGTGCACAACTATATTCCTATACATCCCAAACCAAGAATAGTGGTTTATATAAGCCTTGCTGACCAGAAATGTGAAAATGAGCTATTAATCCTGTTTTTTAAGAGTTAAGAAACGTGGGTGGTTGGCAGGTGCTCTGGTGTGGTCTGCTTCTTCTTTCCTATCAAACATCTATCGACCTTATCTCCCCGTCTTCTTTTTTATGTTTGTTACTCTCTAGTAACACCTCTAATCTTCTGGCGCTCGTATGACCTTATGCAGTTGCGAGCGCCGAAAACCTCTACTAAAACTAAAAAAAGAGTTAAGTACAGATACAATGTACATACAGAAATGGATAATCAGTTCTCTCTTATGCAAAACAGTTTTACACAAAACAAAGATACAATACGTCAAACTAAAAATCATGAACGATTAATCTATTGTATAAATCTTACCATGAAATAAGTTAACTACAACTAATAAAAGTGTTATATGAAGAGCAAGCGCAAAAGAAAAATCATGAACAATTAAATAAGGCATAAACTTCACCTGTTCCAATTCATTTTTCTGATCTTCCAGGGCTTCTTTGAGCTTCTCGGCTTCCTGTTGTGATGCGCTGATGGACTCTTCCTTCTGGTCTACTGATGTCTGAAGTTGAGATATTTCTCCAGCCTTCTCTTTCAAGGTCTGCAAACTTTCCTCAAGTTTCGTCTGGGTCTGAAATAATAATTATTAATGTTTTATGTACCCATAGACATTATTGATTTACATCATTTAAATAGCAGGTTGTTTTGACCCTGCCTGCTAGGGCCAAATATTGGCTGAGGGATACAATGTCCAAACAAAAAGATGGAGATACTTCCCCACATGGGGTTCAAACTCAAATCTCTGGCACCTGATGGCAAAAAGCCTAGCCATTACACCACAGATGTATTTCTTCTGGACCTGAAATGAAGCCCATACATCAGACTAGATAAGACAGCTGCCAAAGCTTTTTCCCATGGGAGAAGAGTGAAAAACTTTTCTTTAAGTGTCAAAATCTGAAACAAACTTCTGCAACCATGGTTCGCCATCCATTTCTCTGCTTTTAACACATGTTATCTTCGTCTTTTCCCGTCACCCATCTATGAAAATTGATGAAAACCAGCTAATAAAAATAGAAGGTAGCTCCTAAACTGGTATACCTCCTC